CGTAGGTTATCTCTCCACATCATCATAAAAAGTAATTCATCATCATCATTGCCATCGCATGAAGGGAAATGTTCATTCAATGTATATTCAAAAGTGTTGAATTTTTTTAGGATGTCGGGTCTCATATAGTTTGTGAATTCTTACAATCTGGGAGAGACTTTGTGAAATGAGTGGAGATGGAGAGGGATAGAATTCCAATATCTTTCTTCCATTTTCCATATACCTTCTTTATATATCTCATAAGATGTTATTGCCCTCATAGGACTACAGAAAAAAAAATTACATTATAGATCATATTTTATGTAACCTATCTCGAAGGGAAAACTCTCCATGATTTTGTAAGATGTCATTGATGTTAGGTGATTCGTAAATGAGCATTGATAGAGGTGAGTAAGAGTCTCGTTCCTTCTATCATGTCGGTGACCTCAAAGGATCAATAAATGACCTCGAAGATGAAGCTTGAGAAGTGTAAGTGAGCTTAGTGAACAGGCTTTGTGAGCATGTGTGAGCTTGATAGAGGAGCTTGATGAGTTCAGGCAAGTTCGACATAGGAGCTTGCCAGGTCTTCTTGAGAGATAGTTCTTAGGGTCACACTTCGATAAATGTGACCGATGAGTATAATTAGTTAAAAGAAGAGCAAGCTCCAAGTTTAGGATAAAAAGCCCCAATCCAATAAGCTCAAAAGGCCCACTTTACGTATGGGCTTCTTCAATAGCTTGGAAAATTCACTTTTAGATGTACATTTAGTTCTTTGATTTTGTTAGCCCTTCGATAGAATAATGCAAAACTCTGCTTGTCAAGCTGCCTCGGGAGAGGAAGAACTATTCTCGATGCAAATGAAGGATATGATATTTTATAGCCACTAGAAGTATTGTACTTTGAGGATGAGGAAAATGTATAGTGTGAATAAAAGAGTTCTACACTTGTCTATTACAAAGAATACAATAGTTCCAACTTCTTTCTCTGTCAAAGAATAATTGTCACGTCATCAAGAGTGAGGGCCACGTAGATATTTCTAATATACGTTGGCACACCAGTACTCTATTTTAAAAGAAAGAGAATAGTAGCTTGAACCCAGTAGAATTAACTCTGGCATTTAAAAAAAACAAAACTATATTAACTCCATGTCTAGTATATAATAATAGCTTGAGAATTGTTGACGCCATGGTTGAATTTTACGCCTTCACATTCTTTCCTTTTCGCAAAGAGTTTCCCATTATTTGTTATTCAAAACAGTGAATGAGTGGTAGGGTTGATATTTCATTCCAGTGAATGATCCTTCTGCTTCTACAGGATTACCTATGGAGGATAATTCTGATATAGAGAATAGCTTGGCAGATAATTTGATTGGTTCTCATGGAAGCTGTAAGGAGTTTGAAGAGATAAGGTTAAGATTGTTACTTTTAAACGCCTTGACTCATCTCAATCCAGGTAGTTTTTCTCAGGCAGGCAATTTTTCTTGAAGAGACTCCTGTAGAATAGAAGAGTTACTTTAAATAATAAAAAAGAACATAGGTTTTTCCTCTATTATGTGGGGTTGTAATTATACTTAATTTTTTGACTTCTCAGTTTGTTGAATTGTATGATGATGTGAAGTAAAAGTGTAAAATAATATGATATAGATTATATGTTTAATTTGTTATTTAAGTTAGTTTTATGCTTGTGAAAGGTGGAATTGTTTTGCATTTGTTAGAACAGGTGTAGAGCTAGCTTAGGGGAGCAAAAGAGCCAAACAGAGAGCTTGTGCAGTGAACCAATTGACAGGCGCTTGAACCCAGAGCATTAGGTGCCCATGCGCCAGTTCTAGGTGCCTGACATGTTTTGGTATCCGTTTTGGTCCATTTTGAAGTCATCGGGTTATTCCAAAGCAATTTTGGGATTAAACACATATGATTTGCTAAGCAGGAAGCAAGATGATACAGTAAGACATGGCATTGTGGCCTTAATGTTGGGCGTTTCGACACTGCATATGATAAGATGTGCATCCAACGTCAAGCATGTTGTTTAAGGTATCATAACACTAGGATCCAACGCCATGACACACATTCAATAAAATTCAATACAAGCCTAATTCCCCAAGTTCTCAAGCATTAGAGGACGCGACCTCCAACATGTGGCACCATGGTGCATTGCCTAAAATGATATTTAAGGCCACCCGAAGGATTTATTATCAGGGTTTGGTGTCGTGGTGCCATGCCTAGCACCATGATGTTTGATTTCCAATAAATAAGAAACGGAACCTAAAGGGTTCGTAACAACAATTTTTTACAACAAGACCCTATAATTTCTCTCTCCTTTCTAAAGATTCCTTATCAAAGTTGTCGTGCCAACATGCTGGTGCAATAGGCTTAGCGATCAGTCATGCTCCCTAACCCATCTGAGACAACGACTTCAACAATCAGACTTCTAACGCTAGCTCCACATCAGTAGCCCCCAAGACTGCACATCTGGCTTACCCGTATGGAGGAATCTCATCGCACCCTAGTATCCCAGCACCTTTACAGGTTCAGGGAAAACATTAACAATGTCAATAGCAAGTTAGACGATCTCACTGAGCGGTTGGATCACATTTTGAATTGACTAGAGTGTATAAAGCAGCAACAAACTATGTTAACTTATTGACATACAAATGCCTACGAAAGGTAGGAGAAAGCACTATAGTGTTCTCCTCTAGACCGCAGTCCAACAATAAGAATAAGTGGGGAAGTGAATGAAGACAGGACGGGAGGAGGGCAACTACCCAATCCTTAGGGATCACATGAACACTCCACCCTGTTTTTGATATTATTATTCTTGTATTTTATTTTTTATTTAAATATGTGGGAGTAGATGGGTCTTTTAATACTCGCCTTTAATTCTAATGGGACAACAATTTTTTTTTTTTATTCATTCAATGAACTATCGATTGCCTACAATGTGCATCATTTTCCCCATTTCAGGAGTTCTCGGGGCTCTATGGAGTGCCTCAATGCCAAGATATCACTTTTTTTAAGTTACTCACATTGATTGTGTGGTGTGATAGAAGACAAGTGTCATGACAATATAGAAGTTGTTGGAGTGATCTCTCAAACTTCTGAATTCAGGACGTCATACGACATTCGTGTAGGTGAGATTTTTCTCTGATCTATAATCTCTCATTTTGTAGGAAAAGCCTTAGGTTTTGGTTTAGATATTATAGGCTAGGTTATTGTTAGAGGATACCAAGGCTAGACTCCTTTGTTTCTCCACCTTAGTCACATTTTGTGTGAGGACATTTGTGTGCATTGAGCCTTAGTTTACCCTGGTGTTGCAATGTCGTTCTTCGAGCATTATAACACTTTTTTTTTCATTTATGGGTGCAAAACAGACTCAATACCATCTTCTGATGCTTGACTATCATTTTCACCTCATGGGTAGCCACACGCCATCGCCTCTACGATGGCACGAGGACACTTGGTCTGATTTTAACTGGCATTAGATGTTGCTTTTTTAGCAACCTCATGCCATATCCACAAAACTGGGCTGCATTGTTATTTTAGCATTACAGCCTCGACTGGGCTTTGTTTCCACTCGGGTAAGAGTCGTGATGTTATCTAGCATCACGGTGTTGGCGTCTACTCTTTGGTTTCGTGCCACATCTTCTGTTGATATAAACATTACAGTGCGGTCTTTTCCCACGAGTTGAGATGCTGAGCTTTGGCATTTCAATATCAGAAGTTACCAAGACATTCATCCTCACTTTATGCTCAATGCAATGATTACATGGTATCCATCACTCAGTCAACACCAATTTTCATTGGATTGGGGTTATCGTATCCCTAGTTTTGGAAGTCCGGAGGCACGATCTCCCATTTGGTCGTTGGTATGGCCGACTACTTTGGGTTGTTCAATTGCCATGTTTGGTCATTCCAGACACGTGGGTCTTCTATTTTTCTAAATGAATAGCCCAAGGACTAGCCCTCCTGAATTGTTGGCACGCCTTTCTATCTGGGTTGTAATTCTGCTTAGTCTGACTGATCGAATAGGCTTATGTCAGTTCTATCACTCGTTGATATGACCCATTGTAAGCTTGTTATGTTTCTTGTTTTCATCTTATTACGGACTACTCGATGAGATAGTTCTTGAGAGAGAGTTCTTACAGTCACCAATCTATGGATGTGATTAATGTCTATGATCAGCTAAAAGAAGAGCAGAGCAGGCTTCAGGATAGAGATAAGAATGCCCAATCCAACAGGCTCGGAAGGCCCACTTTACACATGGGCTTCCTCAAAAGCTAATTGATTATAGTTACTTAATTTGTACATCAGATTGTTCATGTATGGCATATATTAATTAAATCTGTCTAAATCTAATTATTTAGGCATTTAGATCCTCAATACCACTACAAAGAGAATGTTAAGTTATGCAATGCTTTGAATACTCAAATGAACACTTTGCATTTCAGCTCTTCTATTATGAATGTTTTTTAAGAAAATATTAATGCACTAGTATGATGAATGGAAAATCTATTTGTTAATGTAGAATAAATAGGCTCCATTGTTACAATTTAGGGATAACTAAACAAATAGCACCCGAAACATTGCTATTTAAAAAATCAGATGATATTCTTGAACTGCCGAACCGATATTCAGACATGTCATGATTAAACCATTGAGAATTTGATAAAAATGAACAATATTAAACATTCCTGTAAATTACTATTAAACAAACATCATATATGTTGAGAAAATTAGGGCGAAGAAAAACTAGAATCGACACAAATCCAGAAGAACACAAAGATTTAACGAGGTTCGGCAAAGATGCCCACGTCCTCGGGAGCAGAACGGCGAGTTCCTTTCACTATTCAGAAAAGAGGTTACAGAATTCAGGAATACCTCACAATATAGAATTCAATATAAGGCCGAAAACGCAATAATACATAAAAAAAATCATAGATATAAGAGATCTAAACACTATGATGGGTGGATAAGATGCACTACATCAACACCCTCCAACTTTAAAGAATGAGCCATCAAAGAATGTAAAGAAAGAGGATTATATAGTTCATTAATTGAATATAAAAATATAGGAAATTATTTGAAAACAGTCCAAAAATACTTAAAATTAAAAAAAAAAATTCCATAATAATTTCCCCAACTGCTTCTAAATTTATGAAACTAGAAAGATGGAATCAGCATTATCTAAGAAGGTTTCCTAAAACAGAATAAAAATGACTTGAAAGATTGAAGCCTACGAGTTCTGCAGTGTAGCATTCATCTATTCCCGAATTTTCTGGACGCCAACCCAGCGAGCATAATCGACCCACCTGATCAAAACAAAAGCAAGAGGACCGTTTAATCTGGGACATGCTTTGAGAATCGTGCACTATAAGAATCGATTGATTATACATTACTGTATATCTCTAAGAGTTCTAAAACTCATGCTCAGCAGAGAGTTGGAAGGGAAATTTACATGCATACCAAACAATTTTAATGTATTTACATATCTAACATCTAAAGTTTGATATTTGCATTTACATAACACCGTGCTGTCATAAATCTATGCCTGAAAAGTTGTGATATTTTTTTATGTGTTGTTAAGCTTTTGAGTGTTATATATATAAATATGAAAGTTTAGGTGTCAGATATGTAAACATATATAAGAATTATGTGGTATGCATGTAAATGTCCCAGAGAGTTGATACACCATTTCCCAGCCCAAATTTGAACCCAAAAAATTTCTTCTATAAAGGTGCAACAGAGAGGGAAGCTAAGAAGTAAGAGTATATAGGTGATGAAGCTTACAAGAGGGATCCCAAGAACGTATTCCCCGTACGAACTGCAAAGCACAGTGCGCTGAGTAAGAGTTTTTGATTGTGTAACAAGGGCTCCAGAATCCGCTGCTCAACAACACCAGCTACTATCTGATATCTGCAAGCCAAAAGATTATTTCATGGTAAATATAAATCTAAATAAATAAAAAAACTATATAAGGAAATCAAACATAACTGTGCAAATAAACATAAAAGGAGAAGGAAGAATATATTTCTAATAAATAGCAAATATATTACATAATAAGGGTATTTACATACATACCACCCAATTCATATGTATTTACATATCTAACACCAAAACTTTATTGTTTACATTCATACCAACCAAATCTTTCACGTCACGTCAAAAAATCATTATGTTTTACTTTTTAAAGTGAATCATCAATAGGTGCATATGCCAAAAGAGTAAAGTGAGGAAATAGTCCCCTCACTATTTATATTAAGCCATTTTACAGAGTTATATTAGTCGCCGGACTGTTTTAATGACAGCCAAAATAGTTCTCATTATAGACTATTTCAACCCATATTAAAAAATTCTAGGGAATAAATTCACTATTTTATAAACTCTTGCCCTGGCAAAGAGTTAGGGAACCATTTTGACAAATCTCTCTATGTAAAAATTAAAGTTTAGGCATTAGATATGTAAATACATAATAATTGAGAGATGTGTATGTAAGTCTTCGTATGTAACAAGTATAATAGTGAAATTTAGACAACATATTTTAGGGGTTAGATACCTGAGATTACTAGAAACTGCCATGTATACACCATAAGCGATACTAGTCTCTACTAGTGGTACCTCCTCTGCTTCTACGGCAAAATCCTTGTCCAGTAATTTCCTTGCTTTAATCAAGGCATTTGTTACGCCAGTCCCCACCTGATCAGAGGAGAAATTTTGCACCATAGAATTAATAACATGCTTTCCATCGTATGAGCAAATAATATGTTTGGCAAGTTGAGAAAGCATAATGAATTAAAAAGAATTGTGGGATTTCAGATCATTTAAAGAGAGGGTCATTTACATAAATCCCACCCATTTCCTATGTAATTATATATCTAACATCTAAACTTTACTTATTAAATTTATACCACCCAAAGCTTTTATATCACATCAAAAAATACCACTATTTAAAATATTAAAAAATGAAATACATTTTTTCAGGCATAATCAAGGTGGCATATATGTAAATATTCGAGTTTAGGTGTTAGATATGTAAACACGTAGAAATCAAGTGGTATCCATGTAATTCTTCGTCACAGAAATTAATAGTAGCAGCAGCAACGAGAATGGCAAAATAAACAGGAAAAAAAATTATAATTCTCTTCTTTCCAGAACATGGTATAATTACATACATACAGACCACCCGAAAAATTGATATTTACAAATTAACCACCCATGTGATTTTTTTGAACTACAAAACCAATGTATTTACGCATGCCATGATCAAACTATTGAGAATATGATAAAATTGAAAAATATGGGTTGGGGTTTTACCATGATTTTTTATATTTGAGTGGGAATTTGAAAAATGAATGAAACAGTGTGGTTGATTTGTAAAACAGCAAGTTTCGGGTGGTCTGTAAGCAATTGCCCCTTCAGAATTTCATGGTGTATGTTATCCAGCACTAATCAAGGCTCTTCTATCAAATACTATAAAGCTTATATTGATTTTCTGAATAATGGCTAAGGAAATAATGGTGATTTTCCTTCTGGAAGTTGGAGGCTTTCGTACATTCTACAAAGATCTTCGAAATATCTTTCTTCCTAAACTGTTATGTTATGAATTTTATAAAAATTATGTGGCTTTGCATCTATCCTTCTTCGTTTTTATCACTTTTTGTTGATTTTAGTGAAGTTTATTGGAGATTTAAAAGTAACTTTAATTAATAAGTGGCATTAATCTATTTTAGCCTTAATAATTACCTCACTGTGTTGAAGTGGAGAACAGCTTTCAGCCCAACATTTCCTTTTGTTAGAATATTATTCCCATTTTTACCAAAAAATTTAAATAAATAAATAAAACCTCTCCTTTATTTGACTATTACAGCAGAAAGTAGCTTTGTTTTAGCTGAATTTCCTCTTCCTAAGACCTTATTCAACTCTTCTATCTGTATTTCAAACCCAGCTACTTTGATGGTTCCTGCT